GAGGACAAACAGCCTTGAAGAGCTGTTTTGCTTTATTCAACAGGCATTTCTCCTTATATACTTTTCTAAGTGCAAGTCTAAACAAAAGGTTACTAATTCTGTGTAAGCAGCTGGGTGCGTGGGTTTACAGGAATAGCACACACTCCCAAGTTCTCAGGAATGCTCCAAGGTCAAAAGTCTAGACTTCCTAAAAAACATCTCCAGCTATTTTCAAAACAATTCTCTTTGAATCTCAAGCCTCTAGAACTGTGAGAAATAAATTCCTGTTGTTTAAGTCACCCAGTCTATGATATTTTGTTATGACTGCCCAAGCTGACTAATAAACCTGCTTTTTAAAAATTCAACATTGTGCAATTCATTCATGTTAATAAGTGTAGTTATAATTCATTAATTTTTCACTGCCATATTAAACTTGCTGTATAATATTAAATTACATGGAAATATCACTGTTTATTTACCCATTCAGTATTGGTGGACATTTAGGTTATTTACATCTTTTGGTTATTGTACAAAGGTGCTATGAACATTCTTATACCTATCTCCTAGGATACACATGCAAGAACTTCTCTAGGATATACTCCGGATCAGCACTGTGGTGTCTTCAACTTTACTGGATATTACCAGATTGTTTTTTAAATGGTTGTACCCTGCTAACATTTACGCTTAGGTGGGCCTCATGATTAAGTTCTGGCCAATGAGATGTATGTAGAAGTGTTATTTGGAACTTTTGGAAAGGCATCCTAGTTTGCCAGCTCAGCTGAGTGGTATCTCTTTCCCCCCGCCCCCCATCCTCTTTCTTTTTTCCTACTGTTTAAAATGCAAATAGGATGGCTGGAGCTCCAGCAGCCATTCTGAACAATGAGATGACCTTGCAGATACAAGTCATAGAGAAGATGTTGAAGCAGAAAGACAGAAGGGCCTGGGTTCCTGATAAACATGGAACTACCATACTAGTCCTGGATTGCCAGTTCTGGACTTCTTTAATGTGAAAGAGACATAAACTTGTCATCATGTTTTGGGATTTTTGCTACAGGTATATGAACATAAGCCCAGTTGATTATTTTTGTTGATCGATTTTTAGGAGTTCTTTATATAATCTGGGCACTATTGATTGTGGATTTTACTTGAGGGAAATACCTCTTCCCAGTTTATGGCTCACTTTCATTCCCTTTATGACGTCTTTTGATGTACATCAGAAATTATCTTTAATATAGTTGAATTTATTAACCTAAAATTCAAAATCTAAAAATTTGAATTTATTAATCTAAATTTAATGTAATTGAATTGATTTTTCCTTGGGTTATTCATGGCATTGGTAAATTAAAAAGTAGATATGTCCAAGTTCACTGCACATAAAACTGGCATAGTTGAAAGTGGATCTCCATCATTCTGGTTCCTTTCCTGCATTTGTCAGCATCATTTTTCACTTTAAAGATTAGGAAAGCCGGCCCAGTGGCGCACTGCTACAGTGCGCCGCCGGCGCTCCCACCGAGGGNTATTTGGAGATGGGGCATATGGGAAGTAATTAGGTTTAAGATAAGAGTGGGGCCCTCATGATGGGATTAGTGACTATTTAAGAAAAGGCACCAGAGAGCTTCCCCCACCCCTCTCTCTCTGTGCCATGTGAGGACATAGAGATGGAAGCCATCTGCAAGACAGGAAGAAAGTCCTCAGCTGGCACCTTGACCTTGGACTTCCAGCCTCTAGAACTGTGAGAAATAAATTCCTGTTGTTTAAGTCACCCAGTCTATGATATTTTGTTATGACTGCCCAAGCTGACTAATAAACCTGCTTTTTAAAAATTCAACATTGTGCAATTCATTCATGTTAATAAGTGTAGTTATAATTCATTAATTTTTCACTGCCATATTAAACTTGCTGTATAATATTAAATTACATGGAAATATCACTGTTTATTTACCCATTCAGTATTGGTGGACATTTAGGTTATTTACATCTTTTGGTTATTGTACAAAGGTGCTATGAACATTCTTATACCTATCTCCTAGGATACACATGCAAGAACTTCTCTAGGATATACTCCGGATCAGCACTGTGGTGTCTTCAACTTTACTGGATATTACCAGATTGTTTTTTAAATGGTTGTACCCTGCTAACATTTACGCTTAGGTGGGCCTCATGATTAAGTTCTGGCCAATGAGATGTATGTAGAAGTGTTATTTGGAACTTTTGGAAAGGCATCCTAGTTTGCTAGCTCAGCTGAGTGGTATCTCTTTCCCCCCGCCCCCCATCCTCTTTCTTTTTTCCTACTGTTTAAAATGCAAATAGGATGGCTGGANCTCTGAAAAACAGGCATTCGGGTTTCAACCATTCAATCCCCTTGTTAGTGTTTCCAAACCCGGATTTTTAGTTTCAAAACCTTGGTCTCTGAACCCGCAGTGGCGGATCTCTAGAGCTAATACATGACGGGGCTGCTTCCCTCCATGTAAAAGGGAGAAATGTGCTTTGTGTTCACCCACCTGGACAGAAGGAGCCCAAATGCCAGTGACCCAGGACCTGCAAAATCATGTTCTCACGCAGAAACAGGCTCTGCCGGCAGCGTTGACCTGCCGGCACACTAGGAGCACGGGGTTGTGCCCGCCACTACAAGGGAGGGGAACCAGCTCTGTGACTGTCGGAGGCTGGTGCAGGAGGCCCTTGGGGAAAGTCAGGGCCCTTGAGCGCCGAGAAGACAGTTCCCGCCGGTGGGCACCCATCGTGACTTGTGTGGCTGGAAGAGCCGGCTCAGCCCTGCTGCCCCCTCGTGCCGCTGTTCCCAACCCCGGTACCGTCCCCTCACCCGAGGCCCCGCCCCCGCCCGCGGGCAGTCCCCGCGGTCCCACAGCTTTGAGGGCGGGGACCCCGGGACCTGAAGCGGCCCCGCCCGACTTCCACCTNGGTTTGGCCTACCCCCTGCTTCAAGGTGTTGTGATGAATCCTGTAGGACAAAACGCATCTGTTGATAGATGCTTACTCAGATATCTTGGAAGCAGTTTCTGCTTGCCCCATATCTTAGAAAAGTGCATACAGATCGGAACCATGAAGTAAAGAGTTAGGCAAGTGACAGGCCTCCTCAGGTTGTGCAATAGAACATGTTTATGACAGGACGTCCCTGTCCTAATGGGGACTTTGTGAAGTAAGGGGCTGGTGAACTAGCATTGTGTGGCAAGCGTGCCTGCTGCACAGTGCAGTGACAGGACACTCCTGGATCCCTGCCCTCTATTCCAGGGAAGTATGTGTGTAAAAATATCCATCGTTACTGGTATCAAGTGCTCTGAAAAACAGGCATTCGGGTTTCAACCATTCAATCCCCTTGTTAGTGTTTCCAAACCC